TCGTTCTTAGTCCTTGCCATACAATACCATATATGCACCATCTTAACTTCGTTCTTAGTCCTTGCCATACAATACCATATATGCACCATCTTAACTTCGTTCTTAGTCCTTGCCATACAATACCATATATGCACCATCTTAACTCCGCTCTTGCCATACAATCGCATGTATAAAAGACGTAGCACAAAGGATCACATACAAAGTGTAATGGACTTAAAATAAGACCCAAAACTCGAGCGCTTTCGAATAGTTGACCATTCTTGTTCAAGAGAACAAAGCAAACTTCTCTCTCAGGCCTTGCCTTACAATAGCATGTATACACCACTTTAACTTTGCTAAGCCTTTACCATATTACATGTCCTCTGAAGACATACCAACTCTTGGTACTTAGAATCTTTCATTTAATTTCGTTTTTGTATGTTGCTAAAATACACTTTATAAGGAATCACATTTTCATTGGAATTAAAAGTTCAGAAGCTGACAACCATTTTCTCATTGTTTCGTGTTAATGCTTTGTTAACGACCTTCCACGCGAACCATTGGTCTCATTCAATTTATGAGGTTAAAGGTCATCATTGTCAGTAGATTCAAATTTTCTTCTATCTAATCCGTACTCTGATCGTTCTCCAAGACAGAGAACGATTGGAACCGTGTTTATCAGCTTTAACTTACCTTAAAAATAAGATATCTCATCCCTGCCGGGGGTCGAACCCGGGACCTTTGGATTAGAAGTCCAACGCGCTATCCACTGCGCTACAGGGACTTGGAAGAAATGGATAGTTAATTAAGTACATAAGGTTTTATCAGTCCATATAATCTTGAATTTGTACGTTGTTCAATTGAGTTGTTTCAAGTTTGGTAAAGTTGTGTGTCCTAACGAAACGATATATGTTATTATTATTAGTTTTTTACATTCTTTAAGTGTACACCCACAAATAAGACGTTTGGCCAATAGATGAAACAATAAATGACGTGATATTTTTTAATTAATTTTCAGTTTGTTTATTTAAACTACCAACATTATCAGGTATGGTAAGCACTTCTGTATAAACTATGTTGATATATATATATAGTTTTGTTTTTTATATATCAGGAATATATTTCTTAACTATGTAGATCTATGTGTATTCTACAGGGGTTGGACAAAATAATGGAAACACCTTGGAAAAACAACAAAATATATTTTAATATGGTGTAGGTCCACCTTTTGAG